CCCATGCACTCACCGTATTCAGGACCAAAAAGAGCATATGGGTTAAGGCAGCTCGGCTTGAAAAGAGCCACGGGAGCAGGGACTCTCTGGACAAGTTGCTGCGTGAGGCCGTCACTTATGTGCCACGTGCGGAGATTCTGTGGCTTATGGGCGCCAAGGAGAAGTGGCTTGCTGGTGATGTGCCCTCTGCTCGTGCCATTCTGGAGGAAGCTTATGCGAAGATCCCGAACTCAGATGAGATTTGGCTTGCGGCCTTTAAACTGGAGTTTGAGAATCATGAGCCGAGAGAGCCCGGATGATTCTTGCGAAGGCACGTGATAGGGGAGGTAAAGAAAGGGTTTGGATGAAATCGGCGATTTTAGAAAGAGAATTGGGCAATGCTGAAGAGGAGAGGATTTTGCTGGACGAGGGGATTAAACATTTCCCGTGGTTTTTCAAACTCTGGCTGATGCTCGGTCAGCTAGGAGAGAGGCAGGGCTCGGAACAAAAGGCAAAGGAAGCATATGAGTTGGGCATCAAGAACTGCCCTGGTTGTGTTCCTCTCTGGCTTTCGCTTGCCCGCTTGGAGGAGAAAGTAAATGGGCTGAGCAAAGCCCGTGCTGTCCTCACCATCGCCCGAAAGAAAAACCCTCAGAATCCTCAGCTCTGGCTTGCTGCCGTCCGGGCTGAAAACCGGCATGGTAACAAAAAGGAATCTGAGATACTAATGGCAAAGGCACTGCAAGAATGCCCTAGCAGTGGCATCCTGTGGGCTAAATCTATCGACATGGCTCCTCGTAAAAAAACCTACTGCAGGGATGCATACACGAGGTGTGGGCCCCATGACCCTTATGTTCTTGCTGCCATCGCGAGAACGTTTTGGCGTGATGGCAAGGTTGAGAAAGCCCGATCTTGGTTCAACCGGGCCATTGAGCTTGGCCCGGATATTGGGGATTTTTGGGCGTTGTATTACAAACTGGAACTCGAGCAAGGTACTGAGGCGACTCGGAGTGAGGTGTTGAGCAGGTGTGTGGCAGCAGAACCAAAGCACGGCGAAAAATGGCAATCCATATCAAAAGCTGTGGAGAATTCACACCGGCCTACTGAATTCATCCTGAAGAAAGTGGTTATTGCACTAGGGGAGGATGGAACTAAATACTAGCTGAGTTCTGAATTTCTATTCTCTTTGTTCCTTTTAATGCTGTAATTATAACTCCTGATTCCATTACCTTATTATGCCTCGGTATCTGTTGGGTGAAATGTCATTGCTTTCTTTTTATTTATATTTTGCCTTT